CTGTGCTTCAAGGAACATGGTGGGGGAGGGGGAGGGGTGTCAAAGAAGAGGAAGGCAAAGAAGAACCTGGAATGACAACAACAAGAAATGGACAGGACTAAGTTATCATTCATCAAGCGGAAGACAGAGAATGATGGCAGGTTTATGTGCCAATGCTTCCATCAACACACCTCCACAACCCTAATGGGTAAAAGGTCATGTTACGTTTACGACATCATCATGTTCACCTGCACTGTGATGTCATGTGCTTAACACTTTTGACATCCTTAACAACCATACTACCAATTTCAAAGATAATGGCAGGGTTATTGTAATTTCTATCATAATTTTAAGGTCTTCATTTCAATCTCCATATATAAGATGGGGATGAAGCAGACCATATTAGACCTAACATCAGGTTATGAGTTGCAGTTCTAACTTCCTGGTAAACGGGTCACCCCCATGTGAGTTGGCTGAGGGCCTGTGCTCGATTGGGGGACAAAGGGAGGAAGAGGAAGAAAGCAGAGATACTGATACTGAGTTGAGTTGATTCAAGAACCATCACAGCACTCAGAACATTCGCATAAGCCCTGCGTCCCAATCTTCAGCAGCCAATGCAGTTCCATTACCAATGGTTCCAGTAGCAGTCTGATTATATGTCTGTCTTCTCTTTCCTCTGAGCGTCGAGTATCTGCCAGATCCCCCATCACTCCCCACTGCATCACTTTCACCAGACTGTGATGATCCGTTTGCTCTTCTAAATTATACATGTGCTCTAATAAGGCCTTAACTAAGTCTGCTTTATCATGCATTAATACTCCACCAAGTTATACACAGCAAGCCAGTCTGTCCGCTTGTTTATTTCCCAACACACCAGCATTACCTGGACAAGAGATCCTGATAATGCTCTTTACCTGTGACCTCCGAAGCGAAGCTTGCCGCTCTGCATGAAGCATGCTTATCTTGACTTTGCTTTGTGAGTCAGTTACAATAACGAAGTTACTGATACTGTCAAAGCTGAAGTGAAATGATAAATAAAAAGACAATCCCACACTTGTTTACAATTATTATTTTATTCAAAATAGCATAAATGATCATAAGATAACAATTTATGTACATAGATTAACATAAAGGAGCTTAGGCATTCAGAATAACGTAATAGTTACAAATGGCTATTGGGGCACAAATAAAATCATGAACTGCATAGTCCATAGCGATAACACTAGCCATACCATCTGAAATCCTTAAGCTCAAAGACACCCCCCCCTCCCCCCATGGCAAAAACAGGCAGTAATGGCAGGTCTCTATACCCATGTGCCAGTCTTGACCTACAAGTGTTAGTCATGGGCAATGACAACAGTTCACAGAAACCAGTTTCAGAGATCTGAGAAAGCTGGTCCAAGTTGTCTTTGAACCCTCGGCTCTTTCAAAACGTCTGGGTGTCTGTGGCTGCAAGGAATTTTCAGGATTCTTCTGAGGCCTCAATAAATAGTTTGGCTTGTTTATTAATTACGCAGGATTCATAGCCGTATTTCAAAACTGTTTCTATACAGCTTGCCTTACTACAGAGTTACTACAATGTGTTACTAATATAAGTGCATTACTACAGAGTACATCAACATATTATGAGACTCTGCCTGTGGGCCCATAAGTCTTGGGTTCAAATCCACATCATAGCAGATTTTTCTTTCTTTACAACTGACCTTGGATCCCAGTCAGTGCAGGATTTAGACATAAGCTGACTCAGCTGCAGCTTAGGGCCTCACAACTGACAGGGACCTCAATAAACTTTTTTTTTTTCACACATGCAATTTTCTTTTAACAGTCTTTAGGGAGTATATAATATTATCTCTGTAATTGTGCAAAGATAAAATACTTGATGCAAGATCACAACAGCTAGGTCTGAAAATCCATACGAATACAAAAGGCAAGAGGAGCTTTCATTGCATTAGGGAGTTTATGGAGGTCAAAAGAAATGAAAATAAATATTTAACTTAACATTTTTAATTATAATGTCAAATCACTATTGTTGTATGGAGGGGAAACATGGAGAACAACTAAGGCAATTACTAATAAACTACAGACGTCAATTAACTGGTGCCTGCGCAGAAAATTGAGAACCAAATGGTATGACAGAGTCACTAATGTCCAGCTCTGGGAGCGAACTAAGCAAGTTCCAGTGGACCAAGAGGTGAAGAAAAGAAGCTGGCGTTGGATAGGACACACTTTAAGAAAACGTGACAGCAATACAGCTAGAATGTCTTTGCACTGGAACCTACAGGGGCACAGGAATAAAGGAAGACCCAAAAAAATCACATGGAGAAGAGAGCATGAAGTTAAAAAGATGGGTAGGACATGGGAAGAGCTGCATGTGACAACCCACAGGAAAGAACGTCTTGGCCTGAGTTGGTTGAGGGCCTATGCTCCATTGGGGGTTAGAAAGGCAGAAGAAGAATTGCACAGACCTTTTTTATTATTTGTTTTACTAAAAATTACATGACAATATATTTCAGTTATCCATATATTCAAAAGGCGTGTATATTTTCAAGTTTTCTGAGATTAACTGGCATAAATTTGACACAATAGGGGCCTCAAGACTTTGTATAGCTCAGGGCTCTTATGAAGTCGAAATCCGGCCCTGCTCCCAGTCTATCCAGCCTAAAAGTGGTACCAGGTAATGTTCTTAGGAAATAAAGGTGGCCGGCAAGATATGGACCACACCATCCACTAAGTGCTGATTGGTCTATGAAAAACATGAGTGTATCGCCATGTACCAAAGCCCCTCTAGCGAGAGTCTTCATCTGCTTACTGGAGTATGTGTCATAACATCCTTCCCTGATCCTCTAGTACAGTGGTTCTAAAACTGGGTGATACGGCATCCAGGGGGTGCCACAGCAATAATCAAGAATTTTTGTTGCGCACGGAAGAAATCTCTTGGCAGTTGAAAATTTAAAAGAGTAGCCTAACTGTGCTGCCTGGTGAAAATTTGCAGTTAAAAACCTACCTAAACTATTTCAGGATCCTCGCTGGTGCTACATAGTTTGTGCACTGTGCTGAGATTCTTCAGACTCAAGTTACAACAGAGCATTTATGGGTTACACCCGTGTGCCATGATGTTGATCCATTGCATAAAACATAATCAACAATTTTTCAGAGAGGGCAGCAGTTTAAAACAGAAATACCATAAAGAAGCCAAAAAGAGTTATGGATGCAGATGTATTCAGAAAACTAAGCTATTGGCAAGGCTGCAGTGCAATCCTAACGTACATTTTCATTTAAAAAAAGCTGATACAGGAGCGACCATCAAGTGCTTTGAGGGTTCAGCTAACTAAACTTCCCACAAACATCCAGGAAATAATAACAAATTCATCCAAACAGTTTCATTCATCGCATTAAAGAGAAGTGAACATTACTTTTGCATTGGTTTTTTTTCTTCTTCTTGTCCTACTTTAAGGGTAGGTGTGCCGCAAATTTTTTTTTTTTTGGGGGGGGGGGGGGGGGGCGACAAGGGTGCCGCAGCAAAACAAAGTTTGAGAAACACTGCTCCAGTACAGTGGTCTTCAACCTTTTTTCAGGTGGTGCACTCTTGAATATACGGCAAGATCCTCCATGCTGCCCCCGCCCCTCTTTACCCTCCAGCTTGAAGAAAATGTAATTAAAAAGAGGACAGTAAGCCGTCCCCATGTATGATGCAAATTTTCGTTATTTGAAGACCCGCCCTAGCTTTTGCCGAAGGCCCTAAATGTAGCTAAACAGCTGAAGGGATTTCTGAGACCTCTCCATGGTGGCCCTCTGTGTCACCGGGTGTTTATCGCTTGTGTGATGTCCTGGTGGGACAAAAAAGAGGACACACACACAAAACTTTCAGACCCTCGTATCCCTTCTTTCCATAATCAGCCTCACTTTCAATTCCTGCTTGGTCTGTACATCACTGCTTGTGGTATACAGTCACTTCAGAGGTCCCGGGTAGTTAGCATCCTTCGGATATTTTCTCCAGGTCATGCGGGTGTGTTGGGAAATGAGCAGGCAGATAGACTGGCCGGCTCTGTACCACTTGGTGGTGAACCGATGTATGACAAGTTAGATGATGTGAGGGCCCTTTGGGAGGGAGTGAACAGTGTGGAGGTGCAGGTAAATTATTATAGTCTAAGGAGAATGGCGCTGCGAGGAGTTACCAGGGGATCTGGCCGATGCTCAACACTCAGGGAAAGATGAGACTGATATACAATCAGATGGTTACTGGTACCATAAGAATTTTACCTCTTTGCTTGCTGCTGAAGATGTGGACTGATCACTTACGGGAGTGTCCCGAGTGTTGTGATGTCGATTCCTAATTCAACATTGAGGTATACAGTTTGTTAGCAGCCGGATTAAATGGCCAAACCATTTCTCTTTTCTGATAAAATTAGATCTGTGTATTACAAAGGGATCTAATGTTATTCCCTCTATCCATCATTTGCATGGTTGACCTTTTATTTGATTCTCGCTTGGTCTGAATATCACTGTTCATTGAGGTACAGTGTCTCTTCGCAGCCAAGTTTAATGGCCGAACCATTAAAAAACTAGATCTCTGAATTCCAGTTAAAAGGAATCATTGCTATTCCCTCTATTCATTATTAACATGATGTGCCTGTCTTTCAATTTCTGCTGGGTCTTTACATTATTGCTCACTGTGGTATACTGTCTGTTAGCAGCCGAGTTTAATGGCTGAACCATTTCTCTTAATATACTCTAATGACTACCATTGTTTTGAAAACATATTTCAGTGGGTGTCCTCCACTGCTGATGAACACACATATATATGTGATATTCCATATGGCTTATATGGGGATATGTTTCAACTGTTATTATGTATGGAAATTTCTGTGACAACTTGTACACGTAGGGATGTGAACTAACAATGCACCAAACGAGACACAACGAAATATGTAACATATTGTTTGTGCTCGGACTATTTCAATCATTCCAATAAAAATACAGTCTACAAAAGGATGCAGAAATGCCCAATTGCAATAAACATACTACGACAGCGTACAGTTACTCTTCTCCGGGGTCTCGCCATTCTCCTTCTGTTTAATTGTGTTTAAAACTGTGTCAAATATGTCCTTCACTGACTGCAAACAAACAAACAAAAATTAAATACCTCTTAACAATACATAATGATATAATCTTTATATATATATATATATATATATATATATATATATATATATATATATATATATATATATATATATATATATATATATATATATATATATATACATACACACACACAGTAGAACTCAGGATATAAATTAAATCTGTTCCACGATTAAGCTCGTATGGTGAATACTCATATCGCATTTACCTCATTAAAATTGATGTAAATAACTTTTATTTATTTCACATCTACAAAACTCACCCTATTCATTTCAAACCGACGTTTTCACTTATACAAAACTCACCCTATTTGTTTCAAAACGACGTTTTCACTTATACAAAAATCTCACCCTATTCGTTTCAAAACGACGTTTTCACTTCTACAAAACTCACCCTATTCATTTCAAAACGACGTTTTCACTTCTACAAAACTCACCCTATTCATTTCAAAACGACGTTTTCACTTCTACAAAACTCACCCTATTCATTTCAAAACGACGTTTTCACTTCTACAAAACTCACCCTATTCGTTTCAAAACGACGTTTTCACTTCTACAAAACTCACCCTATTCATTTCAAAACGACGTTTTCACTTCTACAAAACTCACCCTATTCATTTCAAAACGACGTTTTCACTTCTACAAAACTCACCCTATTCATTTCAAAACGATGTTTTCACTTCTACAAAACTCACCCTATTCATTTCAAAACGATGTTTTCACTTCTACAAAACTCACCCTATTCGTTTCAAAACGACGTTTTCACTTCTACAAAACTCACCCTATTCGTTTCAAAACGATGTTTTCACTTCTACAAAACTCACCCTATTCGTTTCAAAACGATGTTTTCACTTCTACAAAACTCACCCTATTCGTTTCAAAACGATGTTTTCACTTCTACAAAACTCACCCTATTCGTTTCAAAACGATGTTTTCACTTGGTTAACAGGGAAAATTGGGATCACTTTCCTCCATGATGCTACAGTGCATCATCATCAAGTGCCTTGTCGATCAGATTAAGTCCTCCTTCGGCAGTGCTAACGTGACCTAATCCATTTAAAAGTTATCCGGATGCTGCTTGGTAATGCCTAGAACACTCATCTCCCCGGCTCTCATCCTGGATTTTGCCTCGTATTCTCGGCTCCCCTCGGGCATCCCATTTTACGGGTGTTAGCTTTACGCAAGTTAGCCTTTGGTACTGTCCAAGTCTGACACTGGTAGCACAGCCCACAAGATCCATTAGCCCTCTCCAAAATGATACTACAAATCTTGGCAGAGATGTAGAGGATGAGAAGAAGACCAAGAATGACCTGGGTAGAGAATTTAGCTGAATGTACAGGCCTCAAGCAAATAAACATCAAGTTACCACATCTGACCAATAGAGGTGGAGGGAACTGGCCAAAGGGTCAACCAGTGAACCAATGGCAAACAGTGTCACTGGACTAGGGTGACCCTGATGAAATTCACACACAAATAGAACACAAAAAACCTGCATATGAAACACCAAGTTCTCAACTAAAATACCCTGGCAGTTATTTGTTTGAATTCCCAGCGATACAGATTTTTTAAAACTATCTCGGAGCCCAGTTTAATGTACAAAAAAAAAACTGTTTTGGTGAGATTTCAAACCCAATGACTTTGGGCTGGAAGATAAGCCATCTGGCCAGTGTGGCACTGTGGACATATCTGTAATACTCCGTTATACAATTTAATATTGTCACCCTGCAAACGCTTAAAAAAGGGGGCCATAAACCTGTGGAAATCCCCCCCCCCCCCCCCCCACCAAACTTTTAAAACCAAATCTATTTTACATAGGTCACTAATACATTAAAAAATTTTTATTTAATTAAATTTGAAGACACTTTAAAAAAAAAATACATATAGAGTAAACAATAAACATTAACAGAGTAAAGCACTAACATAAATAGATTACCAACGGCCTAAAAAAAAATATGTGTTATGTGACTCACGCCATGACCCTGTGACCTCTATCACTGAGGCTACAGGGCAATTTGACATCAACATGGCTTTTAAGAAAACTGTTTGATTCTCAAGAAAACTGCCCACACATTCTATTTTTAGTTAATATATTCATTTCCTAACCTCTTAAAAGCTGTGCAGGCAGGAACACAACCAATAGTGCTAACTATGCATCTTGTAAACAAAACATTACCAGTGTTAAAGACAAGATGCTGTTTACAAGTTGTTTTCTTCAATGTTTAATTCTTTAATAACAAAAGTACACACTGACAAATCTAAAGTATAGTATACACTTATATAACTTTAGTACCCAATGTTATAACCAAAGAACTTGTATTAAAATACTTACTGAGTTCTCTTTAGCCGAGGCTTCCAGAAATGGAACCTTCCAAGATTCTGCTAAGTGTTTCCCCTCTTCTTCTGAAATGACCCTGGAAACAATGAAGCAATGTATTCATTTCAAGAAAACCATTCCCGTGGCTGACGAACAGTGCTACAAGAGTTGCATTGTGGAAGAGATTGGGGCATCAGGGTTTAATATTTCTCAAAGGCAGCAAAGGATATATATATATCCATGCAGCCAACCTATGTTGTGGAGATAGCACTAATAAATAAAACAATTATTTCTTGTTCTTTTTCTTCTTGTTCCCATTCCTCTACCTCTTCTACTTTGTTCACTCTTAAAAGCACAGTTGGCATACTGTGTTGCAGTTTAAAGCCTGGCTGTGACATCCATACAGATTTCATAAAAACTTTAATTAGTCCAATTTTGTGTAATTATATGCCTGTAGTAGGTCGAACGAGGTTGACTTTTTAATGTGATTGTACAAATGGAATTGGACATGCTTGTTATAGGGCACTGGAAATGAGATCTTGTTCAATTGTCAAAGATCCAAGTTATATCATAAATAGATCACAGATGACCAAGTCTGCCACTTCATCAACATGGTCAACTTTTAATTTGTTTTCTTTGTACAAATGGAATTGGACATGCTTGTTATAGGGCACTGGTCTGCTATTTATCCACCCCCACCCCATAAAAGGAATTATTTCAAGAACTGAAAGTAACAAGTTACTCAAGCTGTCCTTTTTTAATTTCAGGGGTGTGATCTGTGAATAGCTAACATCCTTAAGTGCTAGCTCAGTGGGCATATGTTTAAACCCCTGTGTGTGCATGGGACCAAATTGGGTTAAAAAAAAAAGGGGGGGGGGGTGCAGAACAGACTAACTGCCCATTCCCCCCCCCCCCCCACCAAACATACTGCACAAGGCAATTTATTAGGGATGTGCTGACATTTTATGTGTTGGGAAAGGGGCAGTCTCCATGGCAAAGTGGTCAAGCCATTTGTTTGGCACTCTGAAGGCAGTGGGTTTGTTTCTAGGCTGCATCGTTCAGTTCATGAGTGCAATTTCTATGGAGATCTGGGGTGATCATCGCAGGAGCTAGGGTGTAGGTGCTCTGTGCAATGCTCTCAGCAGGTGGATAGCCTTTCTGTTGAGAGAGACCAAGCCATATGGGATAAAACCCAGTGCAATGAAGCCGTGGTGCCTCTCTCTCATGTGTTGAGTCGAAAGTTGCATTTATCAAAGCCTAGCTTTAAACAAAAACACATTGTACCAATTGGATTTTCAAGGGGAGATGTGAAAGAATAAGAATAAGTAGAAGAAATAATTAGAATAAGAAGAAGAAATGTTGAAACATCAACCAAGGCTAATATCCAAAAATAAATCTAAGGCCAAAGCTGGTCTTCTTCTTCTTCACTTTCTCCTCTACCAGATGTCAAGGGAGACACAAGGTTCTGCTTCCCGCTCACCTCTACCACAGACACACTGTGCTGTTGTAGAGTTTCTCTGATATTATCTTCCCATCTGACTCTTGATCTACCTTGTGCTCTATGCCCTTCTCTTCTTTGGGTGTATGGTATGGCATCTTTAAGTGGACAAATCACTTGATTTACTGTCTTTGTATGTAATTTAGAACTGGTTCTGTGCCGGCTTGTCTCTTATCTTTTTTTTCTTCGTGTTCACTAGCAGTAAATTCTCCCGCGGAAAGTTCTGGTTGTTCACCCCCCTCTAGACTTAAGACTTGTCCCAGAACTTAAGGGTTGTGTGCATATCCATTTTACAGATCTAACTTATATGTATGCAGACTGTTGGTTCCCTGCCTCTCAGGCAGATGCACTCCGACTTCGAATGGAACCCCCAATTAGTTTACTCTTATGAAAAGTTTCTTAGGGAGACAGTGAGTCTATTCTTGTTTTCCCCACAATGGGACTCAGGAAACACACATGGGGATGTTCTCTTGTGACCTCATTCCTGATTTGATTTTTTTCTGGTCACTCCTGCAGCTCTAGTTAGACATCTCAGTCCCAGATCTCCTTCCTCAAACATGGTACTAGGAAATGTTCTGAGAGGAAAAGTGACCAGCATAACCTTGATCACATCAGCCATCATGCCCTGACTGGTCAATACAAAAAAATTTGGCTAAAGGTTAAAGCCGCGAGCATGAACTCTGTAACTCTGGCGACGGCCCCAGGGATCTCCCAAAAATTGCACTTGTAAACTGAAGGCCGCGTCCGTGAAACAAACTCACAACCTTCAGAGCACGAGGCAAATGGCTTAACCACTTTGCCATGGGCTGTGGACCCCCCCCCCCCCCCCCACTTCCCAATGGGTTTACAACCAGATACAGTTAAAGTCGAGAGTATCCCCTTCATTTCACAGTGTTTTATCTCTCACACTGCTTAATCTCTCTGCAGAATGGCTAGCTGCCTGAAGAGAGCATCATACAAAGCACAAACACCATAGCTCCGGAGAGGACCCCCATCAGATACAGTGAGTTCAAGTAACAACTGAGTACCCGGCAATAACGTTTGGTTTATCAACTTGGCTCCAAACAGGTGAAAATAACCACCATGGGAGCTGTCATGGTGTAGCAGCCAGACGCTCACCAGTGAATCTGAAAGTTTTAGGTTCAAATCTGAGCAGAGATTGTCTTTAAAAAAAAAAAAAAAAATCCCCTTGGCTCCCAGGTCGACCCAGCCTTGTTTAGACCACATCAAACACCGAGTGCCAATTGGTCTAGCCCTATATGCCTAAAGGTGTTCTTTACCTACTTACAGGCTATCAAGACCCGATTTACAAGAGAAAAAAAGAACCGCACAAGAAGAACACTAAAACAAGAACATAAACAGACATGTAAACAAAGTTTGAAGTTATTTACCTTTCAATGCGAAGGTCTTTTTTATTTCCGACAAGCACAATGGGTACCCTGTGAACAGATAAACCGACCGTATTTTATGTGGCAGCAACCAAGTGTTTATCATACAGATATGGATGTAGATTCATGGAAACAGGATGCTATGTGCCACACTGCAAGGAGGGGAAAAACAGGGTAGGGAACAGGGATGAAGGAGGAAAGAGACTGCAGACAGGCGGCCCAATGAGTCAACACAATATTCTCCTTCTTCACTATGTTTACAGGCAGTAAACGCTGGTAGAAAGTTCAGGTTGTTTGTCCATTTCTGGACTTATGGTCTTATTCCATAACTTGAGTTTTATGTGCACATCCTGTTTACAGATCTGGCTTATTTGTATGCGGACTGCTTGTTTCTCACAGCTCAGGGAGATGTACCCTTGACTTTGAAGGAAAGTCTCCTAATTAGTCGACATTTACGATATGCTTGTGAAGGAAGGGAAGGGGGTGGCAGTGGGTCTATTCTTGTCCCGTTCTGGAAATAGCATACTCAAAGTAATAGTGAACTCCATTGTGTATAAGGGTTTTTTTGCTTAAATGCTATAAAAAGATTATATCAGAATACTGGGGACAAAGAAGAAAACAAATATTGACATCCAAAAATATCGGAACATCAAGGAAGAATTGGCTGGTAAACAGCATCTTGTCTCATAAATTCAAATATTTTGGGCATATCAAGTGCCACAGCGGATTGAAAAAATAACAGCAGAGGGCATGGTGCCAGGAAGGAGGAGCAGGGCATGACCAGCATGAAGATGGGAACAGGACAGGAGTGACACTCTGGGCGGGAAAGTGTACAAGGTGGGAATGCTGGCGAAAGATTGGATTTCTTTCTGGCAAACAATGATGAGAGTGAAGTTCTGCAAGGAACCTGTTACATAATAATGATACATACACATATGTGTGTTTATATATATATATATATATATATATATATATATATATATATATATATATATATATATATATATATATATATATATAATTAATAATATATATATATATATATATCAGACACCATTTATAGGTGTGACACAAGTACAATTGTTATTTGTGCCAGGTGTACCCACACTTCCATGAACATGTAAACGCTGATGACCTTGTTCCAGTTCTTAAATAATGTTTATTTAAGAAACTCTTGATAACTGCAAAGTTAGTATGTTTATTTAAGAACTCATGATAATTGCAAAGTTAGTATGGCTTCCGCACAACGTTATCGACTACTGAGTAGCCACAGATTTTATTCGTATGGTTTATAAGCACACTAATCTCAGGTAGTCACTGGCTAAATACATCAACAGTACGCTGGTATAGCTGATCACAAACTCATCCTCGCAATATGAACAAAGTAATGAGAGGCTAGCTGATGCCTCTATAGCAATAATTACGTATCCTCCTAACTACTACACTTAACTTTATAATCCGGCTATACAACAGAAACACTTGTCACCAGTATGAATAACCACTACTGTTCTGTTCACAGTTTTTAAATCCAGTCCATTCCAAGCGAAAAACAATTTCCACCTTTTAAAAGGGCCCCAAACAAACACATCCGTTCACTGGACTGTCCAACTACTAACTGCCGTGTGTCCCTCTACCTGTTTGTCCAGTCCCCCTGTAACCTCCCCACTCAGTTACCTGTTTCGCCGTGCGGCTCTACACACAACCCGTCTGACCAGTAATTGACCTGTCTGCTGTTATGAGTCAGTCTAGTCATTGTTTGTCTTTATCTCTCAGTGTGTGGTAAGGTTGACTCATGACAATATATATATATATATATATATATATATATATATATATATATATATATATATATATATATATATATATATATATATATATATATATATATATATATACACACACACACACACACACACATATATACAGTTGTTAGTCAAGATTTTAACATCTCTACAGACATGTCTCATAATGACTCTGCTGCTGTGCCAGCGGAAATTTCACAGTGCCCTCCACTGGCCCATTTGAAATCTAGAGAGAAATTTGACAGTTCTGGCAAAATCTTGAAGCTTGTGCAAATGCATAAGGTTATTCAACTACATATAAGTGTGTTTATGTTTTTATACGTACGTCATTCTTCCCTTCATATCAATGATCTTGTTATAAACGTGCTTTACAACATCAAAGCTGTTGAAGAGACAAGAAAATTAAAACAGAATTTAAAATATGAGGCACAGGCTAAAGAAGTAAATGCATGAAAAGAGGAAGATAAAGAATAACAACTTTAAGTCAGAGGTGGATGGACTATCTCTTGACCTGAAGGTGTATCGATCAAAGCACTAGTACACAAAACCTGCTATCTTTTTTCGGTCTTCTGCTTGTTGAACAAATGTATAATAATTTCTTGATGTTGTCATTCCAGTTTCTACTTTTGCACACCTCTTCTTCGACTTCCCCCAATGATACTCATATAGTCTTTGCAATCCAATCATGTGTTAACACGTGCCCGAAGTAAACTAGCTTGCCACATTTCACCACTGTCAAGAGGGGCTTCTGATGCCCTGCAAAGCTGTCTCATACATACATGTCAGTTTTTATGTTCTCAATAGCTACTTCATAAAATTTGTCCATATTTCATGAAGTATATTGTGATGGAAATGCATTATATAAATTATTTGGCAAAAGTATTACAGCATGTGAATTTTAAACTGAGACTAATTCATGTGAAATATAAATTCAAGACTGCAACAACACAGGCAGCTGCCACAACATTAAGCCATTCCATCAAAAACTTATTTGTCTCTGTTCACCTCAGAAAAGCGGTTCGCAGGCTGTGTTGCAGTTTACAGCTGGGCTGAAATATATGTGCCTCCTTTCGGGCCAACACACCTGATTTCAGAAAATCCTTAATTAATTACTTTTCACAACAAATTGGACTAGGAGCACTGGCTCCCCCCCCCCCCCCTTCTTAGCTGGGATCTGGACCCACCAGGTATAAGGAAAGTGAGGATCCCCTTTGACGCAGCGGGCATATGGGAAGACCACCCATATTTTTACAGACTAATTGGCACTAGGTGGGTAATGTGGTCAGCATTATGCCGGCCGTCTTTACTTCCCCAGGACATACATCCTGGTCCCATTTATTTAGGCATACCCACCAGGGTGGACACCCAAAAACTATTTATATATTTATACAGATTTGCTTGCAGGGCAAGACTCTTTCGGTCCCAGAAATCGTTACTTTAGCAGGCTCTAACCGAAGCAGTGAGAACTTGAAGGCATAAGATAGTTTTGCAATATACTCACTGAACAAAAATAAAAAAAACAAGCTGGAAGTAGAGTGTGTGTACATAATAGTGAATTAGAGTGGATGGATGCAATACTGAATAAGAGTGGGTGGCCGTAACACTGAATTAGAGTGGGCCCAGCATCCCAATAGACAGAAAATCCATGATAACATCCTGACTTGAGTCTTATCAAGTGATGCAAGACTGCAGAGTCAGCAGTAAAAGGATTGGGAGTTTCCTGGTACTAAATAACAATGCCCGAACATAAGCACAACCACATAAAAACTGACCTCTTCTGAGAGTTAACAGAATAGACAAGAACGTATCCGTTGATGTTAATGAAGTACGACTGAGGTATCACAGAGTACTCGTCCTGTCCGGCTGTGTCCACTACCAACAGGTTATACTCCTGACCTCCAACCTTTGTGTGTTTGGCAAAGGCTGGTAGGTGGGAAAAAAAATGAGTTATATAAGCATCACTGGTACACCTACTAGAAACAATTTCTTTTCTGCATTCACTCATGAAAGGGCCACCGGCATGGTGGGTTGTGGTTTACAGCTAGACAATGATATCTGCCAGTTATAGTCCAACATATTCGATTTCAGCAAAAATGTTGTTAGTTGCTTTTTATAAGATTTGTGTTTGGAGGAAGTGGGTCTATTCTTTCTTTCCTCCAAATTGTGGCCCGGGAACACATGGGGAGCTTCAAATACTAGAAGGACCCTTTTCACACTGGGCTGTAAGAACAGCAGACCCCAAGTAGGAAGGATTTAAAACCATTAGCGGTGTTAGACAAGGTGGTATTCTCTCACCTTACCTCTTCATTCTTCTGATGGATGATGTCATTAAGACCTGTAAGGAGAAGACAAAGAAGTACTCAGTCGGCTACTGGAAAATGAGACCAATCTATGCAGCAGAGATGGCATTTGCAGACGCTGTGGCCCTTACAGCTAAATCAGAGGCACATCTTTAATCCAACTTACTTGTCTGGAAGAAAGAGCTTGAGAAGAGAGGGATGACCATTAGTATCTCCAAAACTAAAACCATGATGATTTTAAGCGTGGAGAAGAGACATCAAATCATGATGCAACAGTAAAATGTCGGAGCAGGTCAACCAGTTCAAATACTTTGGAATTGTATTAGACCGAAATGGAGGCATTAAGACTGAGCTGGCTACAAGAAAATCAGCTGCTGGGAGACTTTTCCAGACAATAAACTGGGGGTTTCTTACCAAAAGAGAAATTGAAAAGGGCAAAAATGGCTGTTTACTGCTCTACCTATGTGCCAGTGCTGACATATGAGTGTGAGTCATGGGCAATGACAACAGCTCATAGAAGCCAGTTTCAGTCTTCAGAAATTAGATAAATGAGTAAGGCGGCTCTAGTAACAAGAAGGGAAAAATGTCGCAATCAGACAATATATCAGGATCTTGAAACCCAGGCCTTACAAACCCGTGCGAATCAGTCATAGCTGCGAGGGTTTGGACATGTATGCACAATGGAAGACAATCGGCCACCATGGCAGGCATGAGAGGCTAAGAACCAGGGATGACCGAGGGTTTACTGGGAAGACAACATTCGACAGTCCGTGACAGAGGACTGGAAGGGAACAAAGCCAGAAAAAAAACTGCAGATAGAGAAGTCTGGCGATCTCTCTGGCAAATTTCTACACCCTAGGGTAGAAGAGGAGCGGCTAAGTAAGTAACTTTAGAATCTAATTTGAACCTAAACATTCAACACTAGTGAGACATAACTATCTAGCCTGAACCTGAACATTCAACACTTGTGAATTACAATGGTTTGGAAAAATTAAAAATCACTATATTTAGAAACCTGATGGTCGCAGTGAAGCAGCCGCCTTCATGTTCTGCTGTCTGCTTGATGGTCTAGGAGTTCTATCTCCTGGAAGTTTATAACTGACCAAAACTCAAAATGTCTTCTTTTTCTCTAGTTTTATAGGCTACAGATTCAGAAAATCATAACCATGCGTTTTTCTAACTAAATTTTTGTTAACGATGTGAAAGATTAAAGAATAACATTCAACAGAAGTGAAACCTCAGTATATAAAAATGAACCTACAGTGACACATATTCATAATCACTTACTGTTTTCAATCGTGGGATCATAAGAATCAACAAACTGGTTTTCAACATACTGAATGATTAATGAAGACTTGCCTGAAATTAAAACAACCAAAAACAATTTATCTTCAGTTTCAACAATTAAGTCACTGTGGTATGGTGATAAGTACTTTGAAACGATGTAATGAAGGGAATTCCCAGGGAGGTCCAAAGGGTTTCCTGAGACGACGTAGTGGTATTACAGGCCAGTGAGAAATGGGTAAAGCAAGGGAAGTGATATTCACATGGGACACTGAACTGTTACAAGACCAAATCCTGCGGGAAAGGATCAAGGGTTTTGAAGGACAAATGAGATAGAGGCAGGTGGTGGTTGACTGTGTGAGAGGCAAGTGGTTTCCTATGGAGTGACTGAAGTGAACGTCGATTGTGAGCTGAGGGAATGGGGATTTGGAACGCCAGGAATGTCTGAAGAGAACTGATTAAAAATTGTGAGGCCCAGTGACTGTGAACTTTGTGGTGCTGTGATCTATATGTGAAATCCCCACGTGAATAAACTATTCCTACTAAAAAGTAATTGCATCTCTTGTCTAATTGTAATCCTGTCATGGTTGTCGTAGTCGAGAGCAATTTGTAAACGACCAGAAAGATTTTAGGACGATGGAATGACTATTTTGGCTCCACTTGGAACGGCACCATAAAATGGCGGCCGTAATATGATGCCATTCGAAAGAGAGCTAAATTGGCCACATTCTGGCTATACAATATCAAAAAATATCCAAATGGGGCTCAGTTCTATTAAAAATATATTTTTCGGCTCCGTACAACGAAACAAATGCTCTAACAGGGTCTCGGCGATATGTTACTTGCGGACCTGCTTCTGCGAGTGTGCCTCACCGCCGACCGTATCCCCCGCGCCGCGGATGGGGACTAAACTAGATGGCTGGGACTCACGAGCAGCAGCTACTGCATTTCCTGCAACTTCCTCCAATTACTTTACTCGTGAGTCCCAGTATACCAGGGGATACGCTCGGCGATGAGTTTAATCGCGTTTGGCGCATGCCGACAAGTCTGATATCTACCGCTGCTAAATCCTCCAATCGGAAGAACACAGTATTGCTAATCGGCTGTCATCGTCTGTAATGTCTCGAAAGTGGTCAACGGTCGCTAATATCCTCTGCAGAAACGCTCGAAATTGTCAACAGTCAGTATTTATCGTCTGCTATTTAACTACCGTGTGCAATGTTGACATTGATTGTCAAGTAATCCTAGTTTTGCCGCGATTTGTTCCTTGGCAGAAAGTCCGTATTTTAGATACACCTGAACACCGTTCGGATATTTTTTGATATTTTATGGCCAGAATGTGGCATCATATTACGGCCGCCATTTTATGGTGCCGTTCCAAGTAGAGCCCTATTTTTGATAGACTACAATAAACTGTATTATAATTAACCTCATCGTCGTCGTGTTTTGACTATTCTTCAGTGTGTCCACATTTTACATTGTAACGGAGGAGGTAGAGAGTTTAAATCAGCGTAGACTGAGCCAAAGTAACACTGAACACTGTTGCCAACGATATCAATTCAGACAAGAAGAGCAAATCAGCGTACGTCACAAAAAGAAAATGAAACAATAAGAAACAAAAATGTACAAAACTGCTTATCTGTAAAATTAAATTAACAAACAGTGCCACTTCTGCGGCATCAAAAAATCAGTAAGTGATTTTTGACATTCTGACAAGGAAGGAAAGAGGAACTATTTTATAACTTATAACAATAAAATCAATGGTCTACTGACCGACAGATCTAAACCCCATAAACGCAATCTTCCTGTCTTTCGCGGGCATGGTTGCTCAGCAAAATAAACTAACTCTCCAGTGAAGGCCACAAGAACAGCGATCGTTTAACGCGAAGTCTGGTCTTGATTCAGCAGACCTTGTCAGACTCCGCCATAACCAAAATATTGTGGCAACGGGCAAGTAACTCCAATTGCAGGCGAGCCACTTCCTGTGTTTTTTGCATCATCACAAGGCGCCGTCTCCGCAATAAAGGTTAGTCGGCTGCAATGGGGGGAAAAAAACGTCGAAGGATGGGACTCAGCTTAACTACACGTTTTCGGGAGGGAGGGGGAAAAAACTCAAAGGGTGAAGTTCTTAAGTTGCTTTTTCATCATCATCATGAACCACGTCTGCCGTTAAGCGACGTGGGGAGGAATAATTTGCGATCCAGTGCACGTTGGCTGCCACTGGCTATTTTCATGCCGTGAAGGTGTAGAGTGTCTTTAATGTTGTCGATCCATGTTTCCGTGGCTGTCCTCTTGCTCTTGTAGCTGATCTTCTGAGATGTAGTGCTTGTGATGGTATTTCTTCTTCGCGTTCACCAGCTGTAAACTCTGGCAGAAGGTTCTGGTTGCTCGTCCACTACAGAACTGCAGTCCTGCTCCAGAACCTGAGTGTTGCGTGTGCAACAGTTTTACAGATCTCATTCTCTTGAATACAGACTGCTGGTTCCTTGCCTCTCCGGCAGATGCATTTCGACTTCAAAGGAAGCTTCCCAATTAGTCGACTCATACGACATGCTTTTGGGGAGGCAGTGGGTCTATTCTTGTTTTCCCCACAATGGGACCCCGGAACCCACACAGGGGTTATTGTGTTTGATCTTGCTGCATTCTAACGAGATGGCCAAATCACTTGATCTGCTGTTTCTCAGTGAATCTAGTACAAGGTGTCGTTCCCACATTTTGCCTGATAGTTTCGTTTCATGATTAATAATAATACAAGTGAAAGATCCTTTTTCACGCCTTCAGGCGTATTGGGCATATAGGGTCAGACCTATATTTTATAGATCACTCGGCACTTTTTGGGTGATGTGGTCAACTCCACGCAGGTCGCCTTTACTTCTTGGGACTTTACCTAGTACCCATTTAAGGCTGGGTCGACCTGTGAGTCAATGTAATTTTAATAAAATAATTAAATAATTTAAAATAATAATTACAACAAAAATATCGTGGCCTAGTGGCTAGACGCGCAGCTGCGAATCCGACGATCGTTGGTTCATATCCTACACAGCTGGACATTTGTTTCTTCATACATGACCTTGGCTCCAAGGTCGACCCAGTGTCAGGTGAAGTCCTGAGAAGTAAATACGGCCGGCGTGATGCTGACCACATCAACCGTCACCGAGTGCCGATTGGTTTATAAAATATAAGTCTAGCCCTATATACCCAGTTGAGTTGAGTCAAGAGTTGACATCGTAGAACTCGGGGCATTTCCATGCGTGCTTTGTCCTTATCTTTAGCAGCCAGGGCAGAGTTCCAATACTAATAGTACTGGTTATAATCAGATTATATGTCCGTCTTGCCTTTCCTCTGAGTGTAGTGAGCCGGCCAATATATCATATACACCTGAAGGCTTTAAAAAGGGTGCTTTGTTTACCTTAATAATAATAATGTTTGCTGAATGGCAAATAAATATAATAGGTTTGAAGTAATACGATTTATGTAAACGAAAACTAAAAATATTAACTTCAATAATAGGATGATTGGGGGGGGGGGGGGGGGGAGGGGGGGTGGTTAGATCTGAACTTTGTTTTTTTTTAAATAAGGGAGGGGAGAGAAAAACATGATGACGATGCTGGCGAATAATAATAATAATAATAATAATAATAATAATAATAAGAGGAGTAGGAAGAAGAAGAAGGAGGAAGAGGGGAATGCACAAAATGAATAGGATGGGTCAACAAGGACGAGTGGCTTACATTAAGTTTGAGGAAATATTGCAATGGGCCTTATGTTCACGTACCGTATCCCCCGAAACAGAACAGGATGCATCAACAGGTAACAGACTTACGATTGGTTAGTGTGAGTGTTGCGTTATCTCGAGCCATGCCCTGAACAAGCCAATGCTGTCCCTTTGTGTAACAGGATGTAAAGCATAACAGAAAGGGAACCCTTTTCATGCCTTCTGGTGTATTGGGGCATATAGGGCCAGACCTATATTTTATAGACGTTGGCACGATGGGTGATGTGGTCAATATCACACTAACCGCCTTTACTTCCCCTGACTTTAGCTGGTACCCATGAAAGGCAAGGTCATTTAGGAACAAAACAGGAAAATCCGATTCCTTTCTGAATTGAACCCACGACCTTCAGATCCGTGGGCGAACGTCTAGCCGCCACACCAGGGTGACTCCCGAAATAGACCACAGGCACCGGGATCTGGGAGGAGGGGGGGGTGTTGGAGGGGTGCTCGTTCCCTCTCCCTACAAAAACAAAATGGTTAATAAGGAAAGAGATGCTAAAACCGCTCCCAAATTATTTGCTACGGTCGCCATTTTTAACTAGTTAAAGAAATTTTCTTTCAACGTATATGTCTATACATTTGATATTATTTGAAATGTATTATTACATATATATTTCATTATATAAAATATTAAACAGCGTTACACACAATGGTAAAATAGACAGAGATAGAAACGAGAATCCAACAAGCCAATAATGTCACCTACCAACTTGCTCCAATTTTAAAACACCCTGCTATCCCAATAGAGACAGAAAAAGACCAATTATAAATACCATATTTATACCGACTTTAGGTTACCAGTGTCAGACTTGGACGTTGAAAAAAGAACACGAAAGAAAACTAACCACATGTGAGATGAGATGGAAAAAAAAAAACCAGGGGGGGGGTGAGAAACGACGTGATTTTGAAAAGTAGCGATATTGCCACCTCTGTGTAACAACAGGGGAAAAAAAGCATGGAATATTATTATTGAAAATCGAAACATCAGGAGGCATTTCTATGTTGAATTTTAAGATTGAATGGTTAAATTTAGACATATCAAGCGATCGAGTGTCTATGACAATAGCACATGGAAAACAAAGGAGAGGAGTGGGGGTAGGGGCTTTTTAAAAGTAGCGATATTGCCACCGCTGTGTAACAACAGAAAAAAAAGCCTAGATTATTATTATCTACATAGAACATCTCTATGTTGAATTTTAGAATGCTATGGTTAAATTTAGAACATCAAGGAAGATTAAGCCACCAGTGCCAAACATGGACACTATCTAAAGCCCACATACGCAAAATTACCACCTGCGAGATTAGGTGCCTGAAAAAAAACCTACCGTCCGAGATCGAGTGAATAAAAACTATCGGCAAATTATGGGAACAACACCCCCCCCCCCCATCGAGAAACAGTAGATCAAGTGGTTTGGCCATCTCGTTAGAATGCAGCAAGATCAAATACCATCACAAGCACTACATCTCAGAAGATCAACTACAAGAGCAAGAGGACGGCCGCGGAAAACATGGATCGACAACATCCAAGGTGATCCTCATCCTCATGGTGGCACTCTGTGTCATCGGGTGTTTATCGCTTGTGTGATGTCCTGGCGGGATAGAAAGTCAGTCAGTCATGAAAGTACATGAGGCGGGAGAGCTGGTGAGAGACCGAGTTTCTTTCAGGCAGACCGTGATGAAAGCGACGTTCTCCAAAGGAAACTACTACATGGTGATGATGATGGTTAAAGTTAGTTGCATATCCTTTACTGGACGTTGCAGAACCAATCCCAGCATGTTTTGGCAGTTGCGGTTTTTCTAGGCAAATTTTCGTCTAGTAGTGTGCCATTACTTTCTGGACGGTCGGCTTTCTTGATACCACTGTCGAAACCAACGCAAGGCGCATGGCCCACAGCTGGGATCGAACCGGTTAAATGTAAAACCTATACGATTTTTGAAGATTGTATTTGAAGCTCACTAGGATAATAGGCGTATAGAAATGTTTTGACTGCTTACAGTCGGGAACTAAGAAGACACACTAGATTACATAGAAGTCAAAAGCAACAAGTGATGTCGTCGTTCGGAGGCGACAGGTTCAATTCCCTTTGTACTTACTATAGCTTTCGATTACGATTTATGTATTTTTTTTTTTTAATGTGTCCACCTATCTCTGTGGAAGTTTCTGTGAGTCCTTATCAAAACATATCGATCTGTTTATTATATTCGTGTTACAGCCGCAAAGTTTTCCAACATGTCTGTTTCTGTGTATAGTTTTAGGTCCGTCTGTCTGCTGCCTGCCGCCGTTCAGCGGCTAGATGCTCGCGTGCTGATCCGAAGGTCGTGGGTTCGAGTCCGAACGGAACCGGACCTTTGACCCCCCTCAAAAAATGACCTTGGCTCTCAGGTGACCCTGCCTTGAGGAGGTAGAAGGTGACGTCCTCGGAGGTAAAGGCTGGTGGTTTGATGTTGACCACATCGCTCACCGAGGGTTGATTGGTCTATAAAATATAGGTCTTGCCCTATATGCCCAATGCGACTAAAGAGTCCTATACTTATACTTTCTGTTTGCCTGTCCTGCGATCTTTATGGCTCTCTGACTGGGACATTGTCTTCTGTCAGTGTGTCTGTTTCTCCTTCTGGTCATCTGTATGTCTGTCTGTCTGCTGATTACTGCGCTTGTCTGTATTTCTGACTGTTGTCTGACTGTAGGTAATGTAGTTATTTTCTCCGTGTGTGTTCCGGGGTCCTTTGGTAGCGAGAGGAGGCACATACCTCCTGCCCATATCAAACATGTCGTAATAGTTGACTAATCTGTGATTTGTTCTTCAAAGTCGGAATGCACATGCCTGCGAGGCGAAGAACCAGCAGTCTGCATATACTAAAAAGCCATTTCTGCATAACTGATAGCATATAACTGGAGTTAAAATGGTAAGTTGTTTGTCCGTTGCTGGACATGCAGACTTCGACCTTGTTCTGACTGACTGACTGACTTTCGACCCCATTAGGGCATCACACAAGCGATAAACACCCGATGACACAAAGTGCCACCACGTTGATGAGGTTCGCCG